TTAACCAAATTCTGGTCTGGACAGTGCCAGACAGAACCTGCTGAGAGTCTAAGGGGTCTCCTCCTGTCCCCTGGACAACGCTTGAGAGGAGAAAGCTTGGGTGAATGCCACCTCAGAGTCAAACAAATTTGGCCTCAAAGTCAGCAGCGTGCAGCAACAGCTGTTCTGCACAGCCCTGCTCCCCTACTGAGGGTGACCAGCAGTAAAACTCCCATTCCCAGCACCCCAAGGAGGATGCAGCCTTGCCAGGAAGCCCATCCTGCAGGCACCTTGCAATGACAAAACGCCATCTGGGCTTCCAGCAAAGCCAAGCCGTTGCTAAGTCGAATCAGATTCGCACAGGAGCCTCATGGAAATTTCCCAGAGTGCTGCTGTGTCATCCCGGGGATGCTCCCAGCGTGTTAACCTCGCAAAGGGTTAACCCCAAGTCTAGGGGCTCTGGGAATGGGAGCTGTGGGTCTCAGGAGAGAACTGGAGCGTCAGGAGTCAGCTCACCAATTAATGCATTTGAGTCAATTCTGCTCACCTGGGACAGCAAGCCAGGGCACACACTGAGGATTTTTGTAGGTCATTGCCAAGCCCCAAAACCCATTCCCAGGGATGGTAGAGCAGCGTCAGGGGGACTGGCCTTGCAGCATGGCTCACCTGGACCATGTGACCAGGGCTCAACAGCATCCTGTTTGCTCCCTTCCTTGGCACAATGGCACTGTGTGCATAGGGTGAGTGGAGTCCCTTCCCCAGGTCGCACACTCTTTAAGACCTGGAGGGTCTCCTTCAAGGCCCCACAAGGCAGTGGTGGAGCCATGAAGAGGCCCCTCCTCACCTCAGCTGCCTCTTCCTTTTCCACGCAGCAGAAGGCAAATGACTGAGGCCACGGAAACTCAGGGTTTTGTTCCGCTCTGCTTGTTACTGTGGCAGATCCCCCAGCAGCAGCCAAAACCTTCCTCAGGGACGAGACACTGCATGCCCTCCTGCACCCACCCAGCACCCACCAGTGCTCTGTGTCCTATTGGCCGCATTTCCAGCCCTGGTGGTAGTGACACCCACAGATCCTCCTCTGAGAGACCTCACCTGCCCAGCTGGTCTCTAAGGTACAGACCAGAGCTGCCCCACCCTGAGCACACCTGGCTGAAGCACCTGGAAGAGACACAAAAGCTGGATGGAGAAACACATGAAGGTGAGACATTCACCATCATCCACAGGCTCCCAGGATTGCCCCTTCCTACCTCTTGCTCATACATGGAGTTAGCCCTGGGACAGGACTCACAGTATAGCGGGATGAGAGCTTCCCCCCAGTTCATACTGGGGAGCAGAGGGAAGCCAGGAACCGGAGTCAGAAAGCACAAGCACAGGCCGGGCTGTGCAGTGCCACACGTGGGCTGCCAGGCTCTATTTTAAATGCTATGTGGCAAATATATGCAGGATGGAATCCAAGCTGGGGGAAGGGGAGGGTGCTGGGCAGCGGAGGTGTTCAAAATTAGGAGCTGAGCTCAGGCAAGGATGGCTTCTGGGAGCAGATGGGGGAAGAGCCAGACCTGGGACTGTGCAGCTGCAATGCCAGCCCTGGGATGAACAGCCCCATGGTGGGGTGTGAGAAAGGCCTGCACCCCACTGCCCTCCCAGCGAGGTGGGGACAGCAGGAGAACCGTGACAGCCAGAGAAGGACAGCCAGGACACTCAGGGCAGCTGCAAGAGGAACCCGGCTTCTTCTGTGGCACGGAGACCTCTGGTCCCCCTCAGCACTGCTCCTGGCATGAACGTCACCCCAAAGACACCTCAGTCCTCAGTGTGTTTACAGGGCAGCAAAGAGGAACCAATTCACCTTGCCTTTTGCAGGATGGGAAGGCAAGGGACTCGGGGAGACCTGGCTGAGCCCCAAACCAAGCCCTGCAAACCTCCATACCCACAAAGCCGGCTTGATTCATCTGGATCGGCCCTGAAAAACTTCGCTGTGCTTTGCAAGAGGCTCCCGACCAGTGCCCCAGCACCCAGGCGCAGCACAAGGCTCTGATGGGAGCTGGCAGATCTGGGATCATACCTGCCCTACATTCCCAGAGCCGTCAGGTTGACAGAATGAGCGAGTTTTTATATAGATTTTGGTGGCAGCGGTTTTCTTCACCAGTGGCTGGAGGGGTGGGGGGAAGGAAGGGAGATGGAAAATATTTTTGTTTAAGCTCTTTTCTGCATTCCTGCTGCCAGAGTTGCACATTACTCATGCGCCCCTCATACCTAGGCTGGTAGCTCTGGGTTTTGCTCAGAAAGGGCTGTGGAGAATTAAGCAGTTGGTTAAATTATTAATAGTCTGTCGGGGGCTGGCCAGGCCGCCCGCCCGGCCCCCGCAGCCTTTCGGGGGGCTCCAGTGCCCCCCAGAGGCACCGAAACCAACTACAGCCCAATGACAAACCCGTGGGCTGCTCTACCCTACTTCGAGCCCACAGACACCCCGTTCTCCTGGCCTGGAAACCACCGGAGCTTCCTGGGACACAGCCTCCTGTGCCTGGTCTCACCCACCACGTGCCCAAACTGGGCAGCCACCAAGCGGGTGCGAGTGTTCCACCCAACCAGAGAGTTTGGGGTGGCGGGAGCAGGAAGAGCAAAGGGGGAAGAGACCATTTGGGAGGGCAGAAGCCACAGGGGCACCCGTACTTGGCTGAAGGTACCTTCTTTTCAAGGGGAGACGTGCCAAGCAGGGCTTGGCATTTGATGCCACAGCTGCAGGCTGCAAAACAGCACCCGAGTGCCTGACATCTGACAGGGGCCACTTTCCACTGGTGCCAGGAGGTGGCACGTCTGAGGGCTGAGTTTTCACCAGGCTCTCACCACCCGCAGCCGAAACCATCCCTGATGGCTCCAGCACACTTGCTGTCAGACACATTCTGGCAGCACACTGGCCCTCACTTTCCTTCCTAACCCCTCCAGTTTCCTTCCTGCAGCCCTGACATCAGTTTTCAGGCACCAGCTGCTGCCTCACAACAAAAGACCTGAGAGGAAATTTCATGGGGCAAAACACAACAAACGTGGCCTGCACAGGGGCACAAGCAGCTGGCACTCAGGCCACCCCAGCTCCCTCTGCTCATGGTTTTGCCAGCTCCTCCAGTCTCTCCCTCTCCTCTCCATTGGGATAAAGCTGGGCTAGACACCTCCAGGCCAGCTCCGAGGCCTGCTCTCACAGGGCTTTTGGCTTGCTAATTTTGCACAGGGAGAGGTGTCAGACTGGCAGCCCCCTTTCACAGGACAGCTCTGGCACAGGCTTTGCAGGTAATTTCATTTTTGGCTTCTGGCTTATTTTTATCCTGCAGAATGTGTGCCAGTTACACACAAGTCCTTTCTCCTCCTCCCATCAGATCAGGTGACTGGGCAGGCACCTTGCCCAGGCACGGCCCATACCCTTTCCCTTGCCCAGACAGCTGCCACGCTCGGGCCCTGCCCCACCACTGTGTCCAGTCAAGGCTGCAGGACCTGACTCGACCGCTGTCCTAGAATAATGGAACCATGAAATATCCTGAGCTGGAAGGGACTCGCAAGGATCATCAGGTCCAGCTCCTGGCCCTGCTCAGGGGGCTTAACCCCAATATTCCCACTGAACTGCCTGAAAGCGTTGTCCAAACACTCTTTGAGCTCTGGCAGCCTTGGGGCCGCGACCACTGCCTGGGGGAGCCTGTTCAGTGCCCGACTACCCTCTGGGGGAAGAACCTTTTTCTAGTATCCAACCTAAACCTCCACACTCCTACCACTTATTGTCCCATAGCCCCCAAAATTTTGGTCCTCAGACTGTCCCTTCCATATGCCAAGGGTTGACAGTCCCTAAGTCAGGGCTCCAAATCCTCTCTGTTCCTCAGAGGCATTGGGCATCCCAGTCCTTCCAGGATTTGGGGCTCTTCCACTAGACCCTGATTCCATCTGGTGCCTTGCTCTCCCCAGTGATATGTCCAAAACTGGTTGGAAGGACAGAGATCACCAGCCCAAGCTGCCCTCCTCACCAAGTACTAGTGGGACAGCAGGGACAGGCTGCAGTGAAGCCCCACATATGGCCAGGACAGCTGCAGCAAGCAAGAGAAGGGCAGTGCAGCCATTGCGTGAGGTCTGACCACAGGACACAACAGGGAAGGGAGGAGGAGACAGGGTCTGCACGGCCTGCTCATGGCATTGCTCCCTCGACTTGGGCAGTGAGGAGACACAGGAGCTTGTACCTTGAGGGGTGTGAGGCCCTGATCGAGGGTTGGGCAGCTCTGCCCCAGCTTCGGGTCAAGGTGACGCCCAGGGAAGGACAAGAGAGACCTGCACAGGATGTGCACTCAGGTACGTGGTTCACAGAAGCCTCGCCAGCCTGCTCGAGCTCACCTCCTGCTGCTCAGCAGACAGTCAGGCTGGAAGTGTCTCAGAAGCCCTGGAAGGACTTTGACACAAGGACATTTCTGTACAAATGGAGGCTGCTTGGCCCTGCTGGAAAGCCATCAAGACTGGATAAAGAGAAAACTCTGCAGTACCTGCTTGATCTTCAAAGCTGGCCCTGCTCTGAGCCAAGGGCTGGGCCAGAGACCTCTGGAGGGCTCCGAACCCATTTGCTGCTGCAGCCGCCTGTCCCAGGCCTGGCAGAGGAGTCCAACACTGACAAAAGGGTTGCAGGCAGGTGCCAGGACTACCATCAGCGAGCACCAGAAAATGGACACTGCTCACTGAAGCCAGCACGTGGAGGAGCCACACGGCCCAGCCCAGCTCTGCAGGGCTGCATACAGGGCTGTGCCACTTCCCCTGCTCAGAGCAGAGCAGGAGACACTGAACCACCCACAGAACAACAACCCCTGCCCTCTTGCAGGGAGTTACGTGATGTCTCCGGCCATGGGAGCCCGTAAGGGAAATCTTCACAGTCTCCCGAAGGGCCGAGTGCCTGCAGAGGAAGGTCAAACCCCCGAAAAGGGTTGTGCAGGAAACAGTGAACACCCTGTTTGTGGTTTTGTCTCCCCCCTACCAGGAGCATGAAGAAAGTAAAAGATCCTTACGTCAGCAACTCTGCTGGGGCAGCAGCCCCCAGAGGCTCCACTGACACAGAGCTGGGGGCTGCGGCACCCTGGGCTGCAGCTGATTCCTGTGTGCCCACAGCTCCCCCGACATCTGGTGCTGGGATGTGCTCCGTTGTCTCCACCTCAACCTCCTGAGCTGCAGGGCACAGCTTCACCCTCTCGGCAGCTGCAGCTGCCTCCTCCTCCTCCTCCTTCTTCCTCAGCTTTGCCTCCAGCTCCCGGCGCCTCTTCTCATCATCCTGCCTGGCCATCCGCTCAAACACTTGGAATGCCTGGAAGAGAAAGAGCAAACCGAGCAGTCAGAGCCACCAGCTCTACCTGTGACACCAGGGAGAAGGAGAGGATAGCAGCACACACTTGGAGCACTTATTCCTTCCTGTCCCTGCCTCTCTGGGCATCACACACTCCTCCCTACCCCAAGCTGCTTCAGTCACCAACAAAACATACTGATGACTCTTTGAAAAGTCCCACAGCCGTGTCAAACACACCTCAGAGACAGCCTGGCTCCTGGGAGCATTTTGGAATTGTTTCTTCGGTCATGTTCTGGCAACCAACCTCACCCCAGCCTGCAAAGAGGGCTGGTTACTCCAGGGAAAAGCAGAGTGGTGAGCTCTGGCTCCTAGCTGGGAAGGGGCTCTCAGGGAATCTCTCCTCACTCCATGTTCCAGGGCTCACCTAGGGGCCATTTGAAACCTGGAACTCAGACCAAGCCTCCAAGGAGCAAACGGAATGAACTGTCCCAGGAGAAGCTGTGCCCAAACAGACTCAGAGCCCCTAAGCTGGGGCTGGAGGATATGTAACCCCAGGAGATGCAATCCCACCCCACACCTGCCTCCTGGCCATCCCTGTCCAGTGCAGGCTGGAGGTCAGAAGTGAACTCAGGAGGTCAGTGAGGGGTGACGATGACCTGGGCCCTGGGCCTGCTCCCTGAAGGGGCTGCAGTGTCTCCCCTCGAGTGCCAGGGCATTGGCACTGTAAACGTGTTCTGGAAAGTGTGCAAGTGTCAAACACAGTCCTCCTTCCCATCAATGTTTTAGAGTCAGATTTAGTGCTTCCAGTAGCAGACTGGCATGCCTGGTCCATGGTGCTGCTCCATTTGAGTCTTCTTCTGGGCTCATGAGGTGCAGGACAAAGGACATGGCTCAGGGAGGGCTCCTGCCAGCACAGCCACAGCAGGAAAGAAACTTGTGCCCCTCACTCTGGCCTTCCTCCCCAGGCATGGAGCAGAGAGGTGAGTGCCAGCCCCACGTGGATCATGCAGAGCAACACCTCAGACCCATGTCCATGCCCTGGGCTGCAGCCAAGCCAGGATGAGGGAGGGGCCCCTTCTGCACTGTCCTAGGCTCTGGGTCCCTCTGGCTGCAGCCAGCAGGCTGCCCTGACCAACAGCTCTCTGTGGCAGGAACGCTGTGGCCAGAACTGCACTTCCCTCCTTGTGCCCAGCCCCAAACGGCCCCAGGGGGACACTACACGGGGCCCCCACCAGCGCTGCCCCTCTGCCCAGTGGTTTGTGCTCCGTGCCCTCCCTGTGCAGCCTGAGCCCTCTCTGGGATCCCCCCTTGCCCGCAGCGCACAGCAGAAGCTGCCCTGGGGGGTGACAAGGACCCCCGTGTGCTACGGAGCACTGCAGGAAGGGGCAGGGATGCCCCCATCCCCCTGCCCACGGCACCCTAGGCCTGACACACTTGGGAAGGAAAGCTCATCCAGTCCAAGCAGACAAACACCAAACACCCCAAACCCAGCCTCACCCTGTTTTGCTCACAAGCTGTTTTGCTCTCTGCTAATGAAGATTAATAACAGACCAGAAGAGCCCATAGTTAGAGCCGCCCCAACCGCGAGCCCGGCAGGTCGGGGCTTTTGCCCCTCCCGTCCAGGAGCGGGGCCAGCCCCGTGCCGACCACAAGCTCTCGCTGAGCGAAGCCCAGACGCGCTCCCCCCACGACTCCCGCGTCCTCATCTGCCCCCGGCCGCTCTCTGGGCTCCCTGCTCCCAGGGCTCCTGATGGCGGCTTCCCGTAAGCCCCACCGTAAGCCCACTGCGGCCCAGTGCCTCAGCTCTTCCCACCGGGGTCTCGCAGCCTCCACCTGCCCCCGAGGTTCTTCGTCCTCTTACGAGGGTGACGCTGCCGCCATCGCCCACGGTGGTGCACCCTCCACCTTCTCCCTCCTCCTGCACCCCTCTGAGCAGCGCCGGTGCCCCCGGGGCTGCTGTGCTGCCCGACTGCCGCCCCAGATCCCCCGCCCTGCCCCGACGGAGGAACACGGCCTGCTCAGCTCGGCCCCGCGGCGGGGTCAGCACCGGCCACCAGCACGGCCAGGCCGTGTCAACCCCGGGCCCCGCCGGTACCTGCAGGGCCATGGCCTGTGCCGCGCCGGGCGGGAAGCCCAGGCGGTCCCCGGGCCGCAGCAGGAGCCGGTAGAAGTCGGTCTTGCGGTAGAGGAAGCCGAAGAGGACGCGCAGAAACTCCTCCACGTTACCGACGTGCTGCAGGATGCCCAGCAGCGCCTGGTCATACATGTCGGTGAGCGCGGCCTCCATGGCGGCCCCGAGCCCGCTGTCACGGCAACGGGCTCGGCCGCGCTTCCGGTCCTCCCCGCGCGGTCCGCCCGGAACCCGCCCTGCGCGCACGCGTTCCGGCTCCCCAGATGTCCCTCCAGCCCCGCTGGGGTTCCCAGGGCACCCGCGGCCCCCCCAGTGGCGCCGCCGGGACCCCCTGTCGCCTGCCAGCACCAGGGGACGCCCAGATCCTGCGCCGCCACGTCCCCAGCCATCGCCCATCCTCCCCATTCCCCCCACGTGTGACCCCCCCGCGGGGGGCGGTGGCGGGGCTGCAGTTCCCGCTCCGAACCTCCGGGTGGCGCCGGGGCTCCGCCGCTCGGGGGGGGGGGCCGCGGGCCCGTCATGGCGGGAGGGGTGCGGCTCCCTGCTCCAGGAGGGCCCCGGGACAGACGGTATCAAAACTGTACCGAAATCCAAAATTACTTCATCAGCTGCTCCCTTTGATCAGCTTGTTCTAGGCAGCAACCACCCAACTAACACCTCACTGGCCAGACACTCACCCAACACCCCCCGCAAATCCACCTCTCCGTGGGAGAGAAGGGTGTTCTGGGGGGCCGTGTCCAGGGCCTTACAACAGCCCAGAGAGATGCCATCCATAGCCCTTCCCCCATACGAGGTTGGAGTCACTCCATCACAGAAAGCTGGTGAGGCAGGCCTTGCCCTTGGAGAACCTCTGCTGGCTGTCTTGAATCGCCTCCTGCCCTCCATGGGCCTCAGCAGAGCTCCCAGGAGAATCTTTTCCATGATCTTCCCAGGCACAGAGCTGAGGCTGAAGAGTTGGTAGTTCCCAGGATCCAGGTGTTTCTTTTTAAGCAGACATAGGTCTCGCTTATGAACATTTTAATGTAACCCTGGAAAAACATACTTTGCTCTGAGTTTTTATTTACAACTCTAGATACTTCTCAGATTATTTTTAAGTTGTTTAAGGAACTAACTGAAAGTAATAAGGAATTCTATCCAAAACCCATCTCTCTGGCATTAATGCACTGGCATCTGTTAAATCGGAATATTCAGTTTGGGGCTGGACACACTGTTCATCCACACATGGGGATAAAGCACAATATTTTAAATTTATCTTGGGCCGGTGGAGTTTCCCTTTACCAATCATTTGGGTCTTCAGCTGACTGTTGTGACTTTTCCAACAGCACAGAGAGTGGCCTGGAAACTCCATCAGCCAGTTCCCTCAGAGCTCTGGGATGCACCTTGGCAGCATGTGCTTTAACTTTTGTTCAACCAGCGCTGAAGTTCTGGGCTTTTCCTCTTTCCCCTGTCTCTCGGTCTCTCAGGCAGAGGAACTGCACGGCCCTGAGGGTGGTGGGCGATGGCAGTGCAGCTGCTACAGGGACAGGAGCCTTGGGGCAAGGATGATGCTCTGGGAGGGTCAGTGTGTGAGGGGAGATTGATGCCAATGGCATTGCACCTTCCCAGGGTCCAGAGCTGGGATGAGGTCCAGACTTTGGATGGGAAATGGGCAACCAAGAGAGATGAAGACTCAAGGCACTTCTCACCAGTTCAGCCAGACCAGGGGAGGAGGGTTCCTTCCTGGCCTTTGGCTGATCCCTTGCCACTCTTGAGGTGATTTGGCTCTGGCTGCGTGGCACAGCCGAGCTGCAGAGCCAAGCGTAGGGACACCCAAGGCAGGGCATGGTTGCCCTGAGGCTTTGAAGGGCTTTGCACCAAGCCCATCCCCACTTCAGGGAACGCTGCTCACGCTCAAGATGACGGCACTGTATCCCTTGTTGCATGTGTCCATCCCCAGCCCTGTTCCCCCCCGTCTGCCCTTGTCCCAAGGGCTCCATGCTCCTTTCTGCATGGGGCCATGTCCAGGAGTCCTGCACAGACCTGTCAGGCCTGGCTGCTTCCCCCAAGGAAGGGGACAGGGCAGTCACCCCCCACCACTGCAGTCCTTGCTGGCCATGCCTCAGCCCTGGGGGCAGCTCAGTGCTCGGGGCTGGTTCTAATCTGGGAGTCAATGTGGCTTTTGTACTTACTGGGTGCTGTTTTACAGTGCCCCCAGGGCTCCCTCCCCCTCCTGCACAAAGCAACTTGGAAAAATGGCTTTTAGTGGAACACACCCAGGAGTAAATGTTTCATAAAGTTATAATCTATCACCATTCCACTCTCAAATATACCCATACCTCCCACCCACCACCATCCCCCTCAGTGCTGGCTGCCAGAACCTGGCACTTGCTGGGGGGGAGGTTTGGCCTGGTGCTCTTCTGCTTCTTCCCCTACTTTTGATGTGGCCCCTGCCAGGCTGGGACATGGCAGGCTGGGATGGTGGTGGGTCCATCCCTGCACTCCACCACAGCTCCCAGGACCCCATCCTGCCAGAGGTGATTTGCTCCAGGCTCAGGACTGTGGTACTCTTGTGGTGCTCTCAGACTGTAGTGCACTGTGGAGTCCCACAGTGGGACTGAGCAACTCTGCCAGCAGCAAGAGCAAGCCAGTGTCTCTGTGGAGGATGGCTTCAGGGTCCCAAGCCTTGGGGATGCTGCTGAAGTCATCCTGTCCAACCAGGGGGCAATCCCAAAGCATGTCCTTGGACAGTGTTCCTCCCTGAGGAGGATGTGACTGCCCTGGGAGATGTGGCTGCCTGGGGAGGCCTCTGTGATGGTGGCCATGAGGAATATCAACAGCACTGTGGCTGGGGGCACTGCTGTCCCCTCTGTGCTGCTGCCAGCGGGGTCCGCAGGCCCGGTGGCCACTGCACCCTTTCGCACTCCTTTGGTAGGTAGTGAGGTGTCACGATGGACCTCTCTGGTCTGGGCAGCTCCTGGGGCCCCCCAGGGCAGTGGCACCATGGCCCAGTATGGAGGTGACCAGCGGAGGTTGGGTTGGTGCTGGTCCAGTGGAGGCAGAAGCTCTGAGGGTTGAAGAAGCAGTTACATGGAGTCCCCCAGACCTGGATGAGTGGGAGCTGTGCTGGGCCAAGGGGAACCTTTGGGACACCCTCTGAGCCGGCCCCCGTTGCTGATGTCCCCCAGCTTCGTGCCAGCCACATGGGGAGCTGGCGGCCAGGGGGTTCCCACAGTGGGAGCTGCTGGGCCATTGGGACAGGGCAGCAAATCAGGGAGGAGAAGGGAGAGGTGGCCCCAAAGAGCTGCTTGCTCTGAGCCAAGTACTTTTCCGTGTCTCATGCTCTGCCAGGGAAGATGTGCCCTAAAATCTGGGAGGGAGCATGGCTGGGACAGCCCCCCTGAACTGGCCAAGGGGATACTCCTCATCACAGTATATAAAGTGGAGAAGTTAACTGGAATGGGAGGCCAGTCAGGGTTTGGGGACTGGCTTGGCATTGGTCAGCAGGTGGTGAGCAATTGTAATGTACATCACTTGTTTTCTTGAGTGTTCTTTCCCTCTCTCGCTCTCCTCTTTATTATTATTATTATTATTATTAGAGTGCACTTTGTTTCAATTATTAAATTGCTCTTAGCCCACCAGGTCTATTTTATTTGCTTTCCTGAGTTCCTTCCCCACCCCATCAAGGGCAAAGTGAATGAGCAGCTTCGTGGTGCTTGGTTGCCAGCTGGGGTTAAACAAGGACAGTCCTTTTGGTGCCCAATGTGGGGCACGAAGGGTGTCAGCTTCCAACTCCTCCAAGGGAGCTTCACGAGGCATTTGGTCCATGTTTGGGGCGGGTCTGTGCTGGCAGCTGCCTGACACTCCTAGGCAGCTCCAGGACCATTGAGGTTTGCTCTGGAGACAGGTGAAGTCCCAGGTAGTCTGCAGAATTTTCTAAAGCAGCTCCCCAGAGAGCCTTTTGGCACTGGGGAAGGGCTGTGCCTGCTTGATCTGTCACTGGCAGCTGCGGAATGTTTAGGCCTCCGCATTTGTGCTTAATTAGATGCTTTTGGTCTGGGTTTGGCCCAGCCACCTGCGAGAGTCTGTTCTTTTCCTGCCAATTCATGTGAAAACAAGGGGCCCTGGTGGTCTAGTGGTTAGGGTGCAGCACTTTCACCGATGCGACCCGGGTTCGATTCCCAGCCCCCCGGGCAGATGGAGCTCGTCAGCCTTGTAAGGCAATCCATCTAAGAGAAGGTCACTCTAAACAAACCTACGTCCTGAGACCCTCGCTGCCACTGTCCAAGCTTGCTCGGCCCCGGCAGATGAACCTCAGGATTAAAGGGTGGGCTCAGTTCAACGCACACTGTGTCTCACCTAAAAAATCCACTGCGCAGGCTCGAAGGGTTAATGACCTTTCCCAAATCTTCGCTTGCGAAGACTGGCCATTATTATGTGAAAACAAGCACTGATAAACGAGAACTTCGTCCTTGAAGGAAGCATCCTGTATAAACTGAAATTAATTGGTGACTGGCTATTTGAAGGAGAAAGTGACAAGGAGGATGATGAAGGAAGCCCCCCGACTCATTTAGAAAAGAGCCTCGATGTGTACACACGCATGCGCAGAAGGGGCACCACTTACATCACGGGGGGAGGGACCAAGGACCTCTGGCTGGGCGGTGCTGGCCACACCTGTCCAGATAGATGCCACAGGTTAATTGTATAAAGAGCAGATAGCTCTTGCTGGGAGCAGATTCAAGCTTTACATGGGCAACGTTGTCTTCTGTGGGGACGCCCGCTATCTCGTGAGCCTGCCAACACTCCGAGGATGCAACTTCTGCTATGGGGAATTTTAAACGTTCTGGGATTGGTAAGACAACCTCATTGGTAACGCCTGAGTGAGTGGGGGGTTGTCTTGGGGGCTTGTTTCCCTTCTCTTTCCTGTCTCTCGGCTTCTTGTTTTGCTGGCTACTTCTTTGTAATAAATATTGTTTTGTTGAGCTTTCAACCGTGGACTGGTTTCAGTTTTGGCAATCTCCCTGCTACAGCTTCCCTTGGGGAGGGGAATGTTGCCGGTAGAAGACCCTGCGAGGTCACAAAGCCCCCAATGAGGTCATAAGGCCAAGCCATGGTGTGCAGTGCAGGGCGGGTGCTGCAGGCACCGCTCCAGCAGCAGCAGTGACAGCAGTGACAGCATGGTGCAGGCACGGTGGGCCCTGGCCCTCATCCTCCTCCTGGTGGCCCTGCC